AATAATCATAATGTTCAACCAACGTTATAAGAACATAAAAAAAATAACGTTAAAGATAGGTTACTAAATAACGTTTATTTTCAACATTATATTAATGTTATCAATTAACGTTTTTCAATAACATTATTTAGACGTTGTACTATGGTATAAATGTAAGGTTATAAATTTATTCAAATACAAACGTTAATAGAATAACGTTACCTTTACGTAAGTACAACATTGCAAATGTGACGTAATAATCATAATATTCAACCAACGTTATTAGAACTTTAAAAAATAACGTTCAAGATTGGTTACTTCATAACGTTTATTTTTAACGTTTTCCTACTGTTATTTTAACGTTACACGTAAACGTAACGTAATATAACGATATCATAACGTTATGTTTACGTTGTGTGTTTGCTGGGACCTGTCCTGCTAAGTAATATTGTCGGACATCATGTTGTTGAATGCGCTTTCAGATGTCACCTTGAGCCTGAATGTATTAATTTCAACTTGAAAGAGTCCAGCAAGATTTGCGAATTGTTACAAGCTCCTCTATCTGAAGCAACAGACGATTCATTTTATAATTTCTACTCCCAATGTTAGTTTAAATGTGTACCGTACGTAAGTTTTTCTTTGTTTATGTATGTATTTTGCTTCGATTCAACTCAGAAACTCGGTTCCATTCGGAGGGCAAAACATTTTCTTAATCTTAATTCTGTCACTATATTAAAGTTTTATTGTATTTTTTTTGTCTCAAGTATCCAAAAACTGAAACTATTAATATGTAAACACAGGCTGACGGAAAATGCTATGGGACACATGCAGGAATTTATGATTTGACGCGAATTATTCGAATATTCCTTATATGCTTCTTTGAGAACTGTCCCTTGAAAATAGTGAAATTATTGAATTAATTCAAATTTAAACAATGTCAAAGGTCATATAGTTGGTTGATCCTGGACCTAAATCTAAAACGTTTATATCGCTTGTCGCTTAAACATGTTGATACATACAAATACATACGGTTGGTACATTAAGACATTTAGCTGTTGGAACATAAATATGGAATACCCATGCCAAGGCTCGAAATATAAATGTTATTTGTACAAAACTTAGAAATAGGTAGAATCCTAGGTTTTGCCAAGCATTTCTATTATGTTTCTAGCTGACTACAAATCAAATCTATATTTCGAGACATTGCATGGTTGTTCTCTGTACATTATAAATCTTATGAGTTTGAATGTCCCTTTCTTTTTCCCCTCTCTTACAACTGTTCCAAATGAAATATTTTGAGTAAAAACGATAAATGTAAAATTTTAAGAAGATCATTTAAAACATTCCGCGAACCCTTATTTTTTATTGACGTCATGATGAAGGTAATAAACAAGGCTATACACGGTCAGTGACTGTATATCTCAAATGAAACTACCGTCAACTCAAATTGACTGTGCCAATAACACAGTTGTAGTATAAACTTGCATTAATTCATGATACATGTTAAATCCCTACATATAACCTTTTGATCCCACTAGACAATAGAACTAGACATAGCAATCCACACTCATTTAGGCAAATACAAATATCTAAAGACAGTTATAAATATTCATTTTATCCACGAACAGTTATAAATTGGAATCATCTGCCACAACAAATAGTATCATGCAGTACAGTAGACGGATTCAAGAGTATGATCTCAGAATCTGCTCTCATCCCCATTTTCTATCCTTAACGATTTTGTTATCAAATGTATATAGTTTTATCTAAATGAAATTTTTCAAATGTACATACATTATTTTGATTTTTGATTTTGTTTCTTTTAATTTTTCTTGCTACAAATTTAAATTATAAAATTTTATAGTCGACGCCCGGCGAATAATCTTCAATAATTGAAGGATCGCTAGAAACTTAAAGAAGAAGAAGAAATCCATATACGCCCAAAATATATATGTACACGCCAAAGCAAAGGAACCATTTTGGATAGCTTTCGCCTCTGTAGAATTAAAAGAATTGCAACATAGCACGCACATTTCTTTCCAGTATTGTGTACTAGTTGTCTGGTACCAGACAAGATAAAATGACACTTCATGATAATGGTCTACGACAACCGCTGCTGGTGTACAAACAAATTACACTTCTGGTCACAAAACCACAGAGGTGTTGAACATTTTAACTTGACAAAAATGAATTAATTTATACATTTAAAGAAATGAATAAAACCATCAATGTTGGAATAGGTTTCTTTGATGTTTTTGTTGGATACAAAGAAACATGTACCTAATGGATCTACTTATTTCACTGTTATTGGTGGTAGTGGTTGTAGCAGTGGAGTTGGTAGTTTAAGTGGTCGCAAAAGTGGTTGTAGCATTGGTATTGGTAGTTTTAGTGGTTGTGGTAGTGGTTGTAGAAGTGGTATTGGTAGTTTTAGTGGTTTTGGTAGTGGTTGTAGAAGTGGTTTTGGTAGTTTTAGTGGTTGTAGAAGTGGTATTGGTAGTTTAAGTGGTCGCAAAAGTGGTTGTAGCATTGGTATTGGTAGTTTTAGTGGTTGTGGTAGTGGTTGTAGAAGTGGTATTGGTAGTTTTAGTGGTTTTGGTAGTGGTTGTAGAAGAGGTTTTGGTAGTTTTAGTGGTTGCAGTAGTGGTTGTAGAAGTGGTATTGGTAGTTTAAGTTGTCACAAAAGTGGTTGTAGCATTGGTATTGGTAGTTTTAGTGGTTGTGGTAGTGGTTGTAGAAGTGGTATTGGTAGTTTTAGTGGTTTTGGTAGTGGTTGTAGAAGTGGTTTTGGTAGTTTTAGTGGTTGCAGTAGTGGTTGTAGCAGTGGTATTGGTAATTTTTATGGTCACGGTAGTGGTTGTGGTCGCGGTAGTGGTTGTAGACGTGGTATTGGTAGTTTTAGTGGTTGCAGTAGTGGTTGTAGCAGTGGAATTGGTAGTTTTAGTGGTCGCGGTAGTGGTTGTAGTAGTGGTATTGGTAGTTTTAGTGGTCGCAGTAGTGGTTGTAGAAGTGGTATTGGTAGTTTAAGTGGTCGCAAAAGTGGTTGTAGCATTGGTATTGGTAGTTTAAATGGTTGTGGTAGTGGTTGTAGAAGTGGTATTGGTAGTTTTAGTGGTTTTGGTAGTGGTTGTAGAAGTGGTTTTGGTAGTTTTAGTGGTTGCACTAGTGGTTGTAGCAGTTGTATTGGTAATTTTTATGGTCACGGTAGTGGTTGTGGTCGCGGTAGTGGTTGTAGAAGTGGTATTGGTAGTTTTAGTGGTTGCAGTAGTGGTTGTAGCAGTGGTATTGGTAGTTTTAGTGGTCGCGAAAGTGGTTGTAGTAGTGGTATTGGTAGTTTTAGTGGTCGCAGTAGTGGTTGTAGAAGTGGTATTGGTAGTTTTAGTGGTTGCAGTAGTGGTTGTAGCAGTGGTATTGGTAGTTTTAGTGGTTGCAGTAGTGGTTGTATCATTGGTATTGGTAGTTTTAGTGGTCGCGGTAGTGGTTGTAGAAGTGGTATTGGTAGTTTTAATGGTAGCAGTAGTGGTTGTAGCAGTGGTATTGGTAGTTTTAGTGGTCGCGGTAGTGGTTGTAGCAGTGGTATTGGTAGTTTAAGTGGTCACGGTAGTGGTTGTAGTAGTGGTGGTAGTTTTAGTGATCGCGGTAGTGGTTGTAGCAGTGGTATTGGTAGTTTAAGTGGTCACGGTAGTGGTTGTAGTAGTGGTATTGGTAGTTTTAGTGATCGCGATAGTGGTTGTAGCAGTGGTATTGGTAGTTTAAGTGGTCACGGTAGTGGTTGTAGTAGTGGTATTGGTAGTTTTAGTGGTCGCGGTAGTGGTTGTAGCAGTTGTTTTGGTAGTTTTAGTGGTCGCAGAAGTGGTTGTAGCAGTGGTATTGGTATTTTTAGTGGTCGCGGTAGTGGTTGTAGAAGTGGTATTGGTAGTTTTAATGGTTGCAGTAGTGGTTGTAGCAGTGGTATTGGTAGTTTAAGTGGTCACGGTAGTGGTTGTAGTAGTGGTATTGGTAGTTTTAGTGATCGCGATAGTGGTTGTAGCAGTGGTATTGGTAGTTTAAGTGGTCACGGTAGTGGTTGTAGTAGTGGTATTGGTAGTTTTAGTGGTCGCGGTAGTGGTTGTAGCAGTTGTTTTGGTAGTTTTAGTGGTCGCAGAAGTGGTTGTAGCAGTGGTATTGGTATTTTTAGTGGTCGCGGTAGTGGTTGTAGTAGAGGTGTTGGTCTTAGTAGTCGTGGTAGTTGTATCATTGGTGGTGATAGTAGTTGAGGTTTTGGATGTAGTGTCACTAAAAGTAGAAGTGGTGGAAGTTGAAGAATTGGTAGTGGTGGTAGTAGTGGTTGGTTGGTTGTAATGGCGATGGCAGTAGTAATTGTGGGTTAATTGGTTGTAATGGCGATGGCAGTAATAGTGGTGGGTTGGTTGTAATTAATGGCGATGGCAGTAGTAGTGGTAGGTTGGTTGTAATGGCGATGGCAGTAGTAGTGGTGGGTTGGTTGTAATGGCGATGGCAGTATTAGTGGCGGGTTGGTTGTAATGGCGATGGCAGTAGTAGTGGTGGGTTGGTTGTAATGGCGATGGCAGTAGTAGTGGTGGGTTGGTTGTAATGGCAGTAGAAGTGGTGATAGTTGAAGAATTGGTAGTGGTGGTAGTAGGGGTGGGTTGGTTGTAATGGCGATGGCAGTAGTAGGGGTGGTGCATGGTGGTAGTGATGGTGTTGGTGGTAGAGTATTAATAAATATTTTTTTAATTCTACTGAATAAATAGGGAATAAATTCCACAACGGCTTGCCATCATTGATAGACTAGTAAACAGCAAATACAATTAAGTAGTTTGTAGTATATTTATGTTCTTATGATACAGAAAAACGCGAAAATAATTAAAATTAATAGAAAACGATAAAATAAACGGATTTTGGAAAAAAAGGGTAGGGTAAAAAAATAAATTGTCCTGTCCAATGGTAAGTTTTTCATTTAAAAAAAAAACTTGATCAGGAGTTCAAGTATATTTTTAGAGACAAACTGTGTGCCTGTGGAATAAAGTTAATTTTTTTAAACAACGATGTCCTCGTATGTCATTAGCCTGAAACAAACTTGGGAAAGAGACAATGCCATTATTTTTGTAAACGTGATCTGTTTTACTGAGTACGATCGCACGTAATGTTTGTCACAGGTCATTTATTTCAATGTATACTGAAACGTGACGTGTCTTATCCTACCAACATGCGCATTTTATATACTTCATTCAAATAACTTCCGGTTAAGAACCAAAACAAATATTTGCGGTTTCAAGGCCATATTTTCTGATAGTGTGCACGTATATTCAACGTGTTGACATCACTTGAATTACTAAAATCTTGAAAGAATAAACAATGAAAAGTATGAAATTGCTAGCGGTACTTCCAGGGAATTGTATTCAAAGTCTATCAAAGAACTTTTCCACAGGACCGGCGTCCTTGCAGCGACACTTTAAAGTTCTTGTTGTGGGTGCAGGTGCCGGTGGATGTTCCGTTGCAAATAAATTTGCGCATCACGTTGGCGGTGAGAAAGTTGGAATTATTGAACCTAATGATGTATGTATGGCTTAAAATTAGCTCAAAACCATAGTTTACATTCCACAATTATTGAATTAACATGATTATAGAACTGAAAATATGTAGCACATGTTGCTCTATTTATTGACCTGTAAACGATAACAGTCAATTTTAGCCTTGATCAATGTAATTGAAGAAATATCTTATTTTAAGTATCGGTCCTAAAAAGTGTGGATGGAGTGGGTTGTTTTTTTGTTGTTGTTTTTGTTTGTTTGTTTGGTGTTTTTTTTTTGTTTTTTTTGTTTTGTTTTGTTTTTTTTTGGGGGGGGGGGGGGGTCATGTCTCTATTCTTTATATTTTATTTCTATTTCTGACCATTATTCTCTGATCTGTAAATCCCAAACAGACCCCGAATTATGTCACATACGTTATCAAATTAAATTGAAAAAAAAATTAAGCATCTGTATAAAATATATTTTTATACAAGCAAGGTCAAACAGTCAGGGGACTTATTGAAATAAGTGATTTTTAAATCACTTATTTAAGTAGCAAATTTGAAGTTTTGTCACAAATTGTGATTTTGTAGTTTTACCAAAATTTTAAACACATAGGTTTAGATAATATCTTTTCATTAGTAAAATTGAAAAAAATGAACTTTTTGCTTCTTTTAAGCAGCAAGGTTTATGCCTTTGATGCAATCATTTAGCTGCAAATTCTATTTTAGTTGAAAAAATGCTATAAAAATGGCTTTACATAATGAACTGATACTTTCTTAACAGATTTTTCCCAGCAGTGGGAGTATTTTTCCTGTAAAATTCAAGGTTTCATCTTATAGATTATGTAATAAAATTCTACTGTTCAGTGATCAAAATTTCACTGTTCGGGGGTGTTGAAATTAGTGGGGGTTATTAAAATAATGATACTTAAAGAAGTGATTTTTTGGAAGGAAATTGAGGTATGATACTTAAACAAGTGATTTTTATGTCATTATCCTAGATTTAGTACAAGGTCATCACCTGACATGACCCGGTCATCCTATCAACACAGATGTTGGTTCTGATAATTTTAGCAACATAATTAGTCCCTGGATCATTAGTATTCTATATTTAAAGCTACAATAAAAGTAAATCACTTAGTCTAGTGATTAATTTGTACTACTTAAATAGGTGATTATTAAAGAAAGACAACTCTTACTTCCAACCTTTATGGACATAATGTTAATTGAATCAGTGATTTAGAAAATCACTCATTCAAGTACTGTCAAATAAGACTGGAATATGAGGTTTTTGATTAGTAAGAAATTAGGTTAAATAAGACAGTTAGTACATGATATGACCTGATTTTGGCTCTACTTTTTGTCCTTTTCGGTTTATAAATTCTTCAGTTTTTTTATTAGTTTTGGATTTATAAATATTTTGGCCTTGAGCATCACTACACTGCTAAAGAGATATTTATTGTCAAAATGAACATCTGGTGCAGTGAAATTGGTACTGGTTATGTTATTGTTTGTTTACTTTACTCATATGAATGGTTGGTGCCTTTTTCAAGATAAAAACATATTATACACCTAATTATACGCCTGTTTACAGGACGTATTACGGTATACCGTTGTCCGTCAGTCAATCCGTCCGTCGTCATCAGGTCGAACAATAACTCAAAAACGTTTTAACCAATTTTCATGAAACTTTGGTGAATAGTTTATATCTATTGACGTGAGATCCTTTCGATTTTTGTATAAAGTTTAGATTTTGCGTTTCTGAGTTATGGGGTTTTATTCATAAAAAAGGGGGGATTTTCCAGTTTTCGGACAATAACTCAAAAGTGGTTTGACCAGTTTTCATGAAACTTTGGTGACTGGTTTATATCTATTAAAATAAGCTCCCTTAAGTTTTTTTTAGAAATTTCTGATATGACATTGAGGAGTTATGGAACTTTATTCTTTGAAAAAGCGACGGACGTATCATGCGCTCATGGCGCAGCTCTTTATTTTCCCTGTTGCCATGGTTACTTATGCTTTAATAAATTAATTATTTTTCTGATTTTTTCTGACATATATTCAGATATCATGAGATGTGCAAAATATACTTAAAATCATGGTCATAATAACCTCACACTTTCTCACACAGTTTTAGAAAATATCATGAATTATAATAATGTTTAGAAAACTCTGTTAATGTTGTAACATTTCAGACTCAGTTTATAAGAAACTTAAATTGACACTAAAACTTATCAAAAGGTACAAGAGGAAGATGTGTTATTTTCCATCAAATGGGCTCACAAAGAACATATATATTACAATGTATTACAATAAAAGACATTTTTTAAGACAACAACAATAAAAAACATGTATCAAGAGCAAAGAGTAATAACACTTTAAATATTGTAAATTTATTGTACTGTGGAATCATTATTATTCGTTGGGTACCAATTTTCATGGATTTCGTGGGTACTGGTAAACCACAGATTTAAACATGTTGAATGTCCAACAAATTACACATTTTCTAAAAGGTTGTATGCAGACTTTGGCAAATCCACAAAAATGCAAGTTTTTCTCAATCCACAAAAATTGATACCCACATAAATTAATGAATTCACAGTATATAAATCTGCTTAGTACACCATGTACACATTCCTTTAATCTAATATATGAAAAATATATATAGATAATGGTCAAGATTTTGTGCCTGTTTTCTAAAATCTGAAACTGTGGATTCATTAACATGATTACCATGATTAACATGATTAATAATTGTCAATCCTCATGATTGTGGAATACTATAATTTTCACTGATTTTGTGTGGTATATATGTAAGTAAACATAAAATTTAAACTAAATACAAATTTTCTATAGTCTTTTATTTCTTAAAACAACAAAATCAAATATCCACGAAAATTGGTACCCACAAATATAAATGAATCCACAGTATATAATAAATTTTGTAGATCATCAAAAACAATAAATTTTAGAATAATTTGTTTATTTTACTGAAGATTGAATGTTGCCTCTATAGCTAACAGCTATGATGTTATGTATTAACCATTGTTAACAGGAGCATTACTACCAGCCTATGTGGACTCTGGTCGGGGGAGGTGTCAAGAAGTTACAAGATTCTGTACAGAAGATGTCAAAGTTACTACCTAAAAAAGGAACGTGGATGAAAACCAAAGCAGTGGCCTTTGACCCTGAAAAATGTACAGTTACTACAGCAGAGGGAGAAGAGGTAGATTTATAAAATTTAATTTGTTGTCTGTTCACGAATAATCTTGACATGTGACCATTTGTATGCACCTAAAACCCGTAGACTCATCTTTCTGACCATCGACTCTCATTATAACCTCAAGTAGAGACACGTTTATTCATGCGCAATTTAATTTAATTTGATGTTGTAGTCAGGGGCGGATCCAGCTATTTTTAAAAGGGGGTTCCAACCATATTTCCTCATTCAAAAGCATTGATCGTCAAAAAAAAGGGGAGGTTTCCAACCCACAGAACATCCCCCCCCCCATGGATCCGCCACTGGCAAATGACTGGTAGTATTGAAAGTTATAGTGAGTAGCACACCTACATTTGATCTTTGTTTTTTCGTCTAGGCCATTGAATATAATTACTTTTATATTTGGTCATATTGGTGAAATATAATTTACAGAGCTATCAAATACAAAAAAGAAATGTTTGAAGTAGAACTGGTTACAAGTACACCACACAGCAGATTATGATCAGGTTGTAAAGGACACACATCTCCCTTTTGATAGGAAAAAATATAACTTTTATACCCCCATTTGGAAAGACCAAAAGTGTTTGAAAGGCATCATATTAGAATTTACTTTAACCCTTTCATGAATTTAAAAACAACAACAAAGGATACTTAACTGATACTGATATACATGTGTAGGACACATGCTCTTGGAAAACTGATATAAAAATAAGAAGATGTGGTATAATTGCCAATGAGACAACTCTCCAGAAGAGACCAAATGACACAGAAATTAACAACTATAGGTCACCATACGGCCTTCAACAATGAGCAAAACCCATACAGCATAATCAGCTATTAAAAGCCCTGAATTGACAAATGTAAAACAATTCAAACCAGAAAACTAATGGCCTAATTTATGTACAAAATATTGAACAAAAAACAAATATGATAAACAGAATGATGTGGCAGGGTTAAACATGTTAGTGGGCACCCAACCCTCCCCTAACCTGGGACAGTGGTGTAACAGTACAACATAAGAACCAAATATAAAAATCAGTTGAAAAAGGCTTAATACACCATGCTCATCAGGTGGATACAAACAGAAATAAATATAACAGAGTGGACGTGGCAGGGTTCTTATACATCCCCACAACAAAAAGACACTAAGTAAAGATCTGAGAGTACTCCCAGTCACAGATAGCTAGCTCAAACCCAATAACGACTAACAAAAAAAATCTTGCATCCAACATCCAATGGATTTAGTGTAAAGACTTCATTAACAGTCAGAGAAAAACATGACCTTGTGCAATACTACGATATACATGTATAGGACACATGTTCTTTCAATAGCTTTTTATTCGACCGCCAAAAATTTGCATTTGTATATTGCTACTGTAAACCGGGAAATTTTCGCGCCGTCTTTATTTCGCGATTTATCAACACAATCTAAGTGCTTGCCGTTTTGAATTCGCGATTTCCCTGTGACCTATATAAATATTTTCATAAATGATTTAGATAGAGAACCGCTTTACATGTATTGTAAATTAAGTGATAAAATCAATCAGAAATCTTTTGTTTTCGGTTCATTAATGTTAAAGGAGATTAAAAGTTGTGTCATGTTTGCTTGTAAAAAAACGCACAAACAATAACAGAAAAGAAAACCTAATTAAAAGTGAATAAAAATAAAATGCTGTCAGGACTAATGCTAATTAATCGGTCTTTTAATCTGATTAATCTGTGTAGTAGATTCAAGAGGTATTTTTGTTACTGATTGACAGGTGTCATTTACATATTTGTAACAAGTGTTGTTTACATAACAATATCTGTAATGTCTGTTTGCTTAAGATGCCTTCCATTTTAATAAGATTAACTTGAATTAAAGTCATGATTTCTAACATTGCTTTTCATTTAGAAATACAGCTATCATTTGAGGTATAGATCTGTCGTCTGTAAAATCGGTGTTATACAGTGGTCCTCTACATATCCTATCATATACTTACATGTATAGTCATTATCTTATGAAAAGAGTTCCCTTGAAATTTTCGCGTTCGTTTTATTTTCGCGTTTCACTTCTTACTGCGAAAATAGCGAAAATAAAACTGCCGCGAAAAATTTCCCTGTTAACAGTATCATATCGTCGTCTTCATCGTCCATTAGACATTTGGTTTCCAGACAATAACTTTAGTATAAGTGAATTGATCTCTATGAAATTTAAACACAAGGTTCAATAGCACAAAAGGAAGGTTGGGATTGATTTCAGGGGTTATGATCCCAACTGTTTAGGAATTAAGGGTCAAAAAGGGGCCAAAAAAGGCATTTTTCTAATTTCCGGACAATAACTTGTGTATAAGTGTATGGATCTCTATGAAATTGTACCACAAGGTTCCATACAACGAAGGGAAGGTTGGGATTGACAAAAAGGGGGGGAGGAATAAGGTTTTTCTGTTTTCCGGACAAATACTTATAAGTATTAGTCAATGGATCTCTATAAAATTGTACCACAAGGTTCCATACCACACACAGAAGGTTGGGGTCAATTTTGTGGGTTGTGGCTTTAATTGTTAAGAAACTAGAGGCCAAATAGGGGCCAAAAACAAGACTTTTCTAATATACTGGCTAAGCTGGTTTTAACATAAATTATTTCTGATCTATATATAAAGAAGCAACAAATACTGATATGGCAGGAGATACACACCAAACAGGGTGTGTAAATTATTATATTTAGTTTGTAAACAGATTTACTAAGTATTGCACAACAGCAAGAAGTCTTCAATTGAAAATAAATACAAATCTTTTACATTGTTTTAACCAATTTCAATGAGGATTAATTTAAATAGATATAGGAAGATGTGGTATGAGTGCCAATGAGACAACTCTCCATCCAAGTAATTTGCATTATAGGTCATGGTATGGCCTTCAACACAGAGCCTTGGTCTTGAATTGTTTGAGGTTTTTACCATGTATTGCTATATTGGATATTTGGACATTTTTAGATAGGTCTACATTGAGGTCCAAAGGGTCCAAAATTAGACTTTGTTTGATTTTATCAAAAACTGAATTCTTGTGGTTCTATGATATGCTGAATCTAACTGTGCATTTTGGGCCCTGTTTTCAAATTAGTCTATATTGAGGTCCAAAGGGTCCAAAATTAGACTTTGTTTGAATTCATGGTGTTTTTTTTTATATGCTGAATCTAACCATGGAATTAGGTTTTGGACATTGGACCATTAAGTAGATTAAATGTCTCATTTCAAATTTTTAAGTTATCTGACCACATTTATTTTGTGTCAGAAATCTACAATGTTTCAAATATTTAATCACTATCCAAATTCAGAGCTGTATCAAGCTTGACTATTGTGTCCATACTTGCCCCAACTGTTCAGAGTTCAACCTCTGCGGTCGTATCCAGCTGCTTCTGGTGGGGCGCATTTTTATCAGTAGTCTTTATGTACATTTTTACCCATAGGACCATCAAACCAGGCTTGTAAAATTACATTAGGACCTGTAAAAAATCAGGTCAATAGGCCAATAGACATTTTTATACCTGTATTCAAATTTTAATCCATTACTTACAATCACACAAGTTCCAGAAAAATATGGCATCACAATTAAAAAAAAATTGACGTCATAATTGAAAAGTGATTGTTGCATGATGTCAGAAGTTTATTTAGAGACAGATCTATGGTCATTTGAAGACAAAGTTTAGCTAAATACCAAAATGTAAATAGATCTATAGAATCTAAATAACTTTTTTGTAAGATTGAGATTTTGGCCTGTGGATTCAAAAGTTTAATGTGGAGACTGCATTAGGACTATATATAGAAGCCTAAGAACAGAAAAGAATCTTAACAGAATATCCATTACCTTCTAAGGTTAGATTTAATCTTATTTTTAAAGAATATTTGTACCATATACAATGTATGTTATATTTTTCAGGTCAAATATGAATATCTAATAGTGTCGACAGGTCTACAGCTGAATTACAACAAGGTAAACCTGACAAGTTTAATATATTGTTACGGCCAGAAATCACCTTTAAATTTTAGCCAACAAATTAAAAGACACAAATCAATAATAAAATTTAACAAGATTTATTATACACAAGTTTACAAGAAGTATTACACAAATAGAAATGTCAACTTAACTGTCAAAATATATGTCCGATCTTTTGTCTTTTCTTTATCCCGAATTCTTCTCGGGAATCTAAACAGAATATTATGTCCAATAGGTCACGAATCTAGTATGATGTTGTTCCTTAAAAAAAGTGTCAATCCAATTGAGAGAACTTCTGAGAATATTAATGTCTATTGATGTCAATGTCTGAAAGTTTAACTTTAGTGTCTGTATATATATTGTTGTCATGGAAATCTCTAGAACACTGTGGAAGGGAAACTCAAAGAAAACTGTAGAATGGAATCTTCTAGAACAATGTGAGAAGTTTGAATTACGCATCTTTTATTTTGATCATTCTGGAATTATTATGTAAGTCAAATAGAAAGTTCTGATCATTCCATCAGTCTCTATGATTGTTCCAGTGATTTCTAAACTGCACAGTTACAATATTATTTATATTATGTAAATATATTATAAGGCCACACAATACATATAAGGCCAACTAAATAAATATGACAGTTACAATATCATAACAATATAATATTTAATTTCATGTTTTTCCCGAAATCTACATACAAGCCTATAGAAAATGTTTACTTTGTTGAAAATTTGAATTCGTGGTTAACCATTACCCATGATATTCACGAAAATTGGTATGCCAAAAATTATAAAGAATCCACATCATATTTATTTAATAAAATATTTTTTTAGATTAAAGGTCTACCAGAAGCTTTTGATACTGACCCAACAGTGTGCTCTAACTATGATTATAACTACGTACAGAAAACATGGCCAGCGATCCAAAACTTCAAGGGAGGCAATGCTATCTTCACTTTCCCTAACACCCCTATCAAATGTGCAGGAGCACCACAGAAAATAATGTATTTAGCTGAAGATTGGTGGAGAAAGGTAAGACTTTATAGTATAGTATTGTGTAGTTGCTATCTTCCTAAACTCATGCAATGTTACTTGAAAGTTATCAGGCCTGTGTCCTTAGTAAAATATGTCGTTTTTTTTCATCATATTTGACAGCCTGTAAGTATGGAAAGGTATGTTTTTAAAAAAATCATAAATTATAAACATTCTAATGAATATATTAAGATTTAAATTAAATGTCTGATTTGAAAAAAAAATGAACACAGAAAACGAGATGAAGTACTTGTGGCAAAGTCATAGAAGGGGATTTATAAACAATCTCATGAGGATAATACAATGTAGGTCACAATTTTACTGTAAAACATTTTATTTTTGAGGACTTTAAATATTGTGATTTCTGGCGTCAAACATATTTGCAGGGTCTTATTGTTCACATTTCTCTATTTCTGATTCTGATCATCTTCAAATATAAAATTTACACGAGGGGATAATGTTTTTAATGGTAAATGAAATGTGACTAATTAGTGATATTTGTCTTCACTGTTTACAGGAACATGTAAATAAATAAGAAATTTTATTTGGAAAAATATCTCCTTGAATAAGTCTGTTGATCTATATTTTAAGCCTACACCATTTAAATGAATGATGGAGATGGTCATGGGTTGTAGGTCATTTATAAGTGTATGTGAATTTGATATATGAATAATTATGTATTTTCTTGGTCAAATACAACAAATGATGATCTAAGGGTTCTTTTCTTTTAATACACAATATTTAGACCCTAAAACATATAACAACAAATAATAAATATTCACATGACAAGACAGTACATGTAACATATGGGCAAAGGGGAATAACTACAATTTATACTCATTCCTTTTAATATCTATATACTCAAATAAGCCCTTTAAGCACAAAAATCTAACTCTTTAGTTAACTTTCCAATACAATATTCATATGTATCTCATAATAATAAATAATTATATACATCTCAAATCTCTTAATGAGTTGTCCATTTTATAAATAAATTTGTATACAAAGTATACGAATTCTGACCAAAATAAATACATCACATAATCTACACTTCACATAAACAGGCACTTACTTAAATAAAACATAGACAGCACAGACATTACATGTAAAAAACATAGAACACAATACTTACCATGTATATGGTACATAGGTCAGTGTACTAGTTGGAAAACATCACAGTGCTGTGTATATAAAATCTGAGCACTACTCATACAACAAGGTATTAATCCATATCCTGAATAAATAAAAATATAACATTCATAAGTCCAATGACAGGACTATTTCACCAATTAGATAAAATACACAACTACACTTAAAATATGTAGTTTCAGAGTTCTGTATTATTCAAATACCAAATTTATCTATCTATTACTTTTAATGTAACTTTATAATATTTAAAGTACAAGAATGTTTTATATTAAAATGTTTAATATGACTCTGTGTTATTATTTAATGATTTAATCTTTTACTCTTTCATACTCCAAATATTCCTCCATTCAATACATACATTCAATCCTTTCATAAAGTATTAAAATGACATACTATTAATTTGTTAATTAGAATAAGGTAAATCAACTGACCTGAATATGGTCCGAGTACACAGTTATCGTCCTTTGATTTTTCGTTGTCCACGAATATAGTCCCTAGTGTGGACAGTGTGTTACTTGCTAATTTTTTTTATACCCCTTCCAAATTTATTTCTCCATGTTTTATGACTCAAATAGCAAGTAGGGGGGTGAAATGACACTGTAAAAAAATTTGGGTCATGAATTTCAAAGTAAAGTAGTGATTTGGTCCAGCTGAAAAATGTTAAAAATTAGCACTTCGGAAGCTGTCAAAAGATTTGAAGACCCCCTTAACATAAAATTGTCCATATTTTGAGTTAGAGCCGATGAAGTTTTCTATAATTTTGATATAATTTGTCCCAAAAATAGTACAACACACTGTAAAAATATTATTGAGAAAGCGCAGGTGGGATTTTTTTAATTTTCATTTATTGTCTAAAAGAAATGCACTACGAAATACCTGACACGGACCATATAAGAATATTGAAAATCCAAGAATATGAAGTATAATATAAATATAACAAATCAGTTTATTAAAGCAGGTAATTTTCACAACTGCATTCCAATATGTCTGCAGTCTAAATCTACCAGAAACAAAGAAAAACTATAGTAAGGCCAATGGCCCAAAGATTGACCAATCAAAAGGTTAAAATTTTCCCTCCAAAATGATATGAAAGAAAAGAGGTTCACAAAGGGAAAAGAGAATGATACTAAAACAATAGTGCTAGAAATAGAAACAATAAGTAACTAAAGTTCTATCAAACACTGCAATAAAATTAATAATCAACAATATCATATTTAATATATCAATCAAATATGACTCTGCCACAATTACTTGAAGAAAGTACATGTATGTTAGTTGTAGGGTGATTTTGGAAGTCCCTTCCTACCCTCTAACATCTGTATAAGTGGGAAGATCTAAGATGATACAATGTAGGCAATTTTGCAGTCTTTCTTGAATTAATTGCAAGAAGTTTGAAAGGCCAAAACAACACTCAAATACATATAAGATAAGGAGATGTGGTATGATTGCCGATGAGACTACTATCCATCACAGTTCAAATGACAAAGGTATATAGATTCTACCATTGCATCAAGTGTGTTACAACATTTCTCTAATCGAGACAGTTTAATTTTAAAATTTAAAACTTGAGGCTTGCCGAGCTTATTAAATATTTAAGATTTAACTGTTGAGAGTGGAGAAATATCGTAATATCCTTCCTTTTCAAAGATTTGCAGAAAGTTGTGTTCTTTATATGTGACGTCATCAGAAATGGATGCCTTTTTCATGACGTCACAATAGAAACCTCAGAAGAAATCAAGAACATTTGACGTCATAATTGAATTTCGACCAAACGTTTGCTGAGAACAAGGTTTTCTCTAGAGATGAAAAATATTTTTCTAACACTGATTGAGAAATGTGAAAATAGCATGAAAATTAGAGAAATAAGCAATTGTAGGTCACTGTACGACCTTCAACAATGAGAAAAACACATACTGTATAACCAGCTTTAAAGGCCATGATGATTTGTCTTACATGACTATGTATTCTTGATATCTGAAGGATGTTTTTGATAAGTTTACAATACTTTTTGATTTTCAAATACCTGAAAGAAACAAAAGTTAAATTGATTTCTTTTTTCCAGAACGGTATGAGAGAACAAGCAAATATTATATTTAATAGTTCATTGGGTGTTATCTTTGGTGTAAAGAAATATGCTAACAGTCTTAATAAAGTGATTGAAAGTCGGTAAGTCTGCTATGACATAGGAAAACATTATATTCAATAGCTCATTGGGTATGATCTTTGGTTCAAATAAATATGCTAAAAGTCTAAATAAGGTAATTTAAAGTTAGAAATAGAAAAACAAAGGATATGCATGGGTATCCATCCATGATGCAAAATCGGTACATGAACAGCAAAAAAACACATTAAAAGCTGTTATTCAAGTCTGTTACAGAACTGAAACCTTAGTTTTTGTTATTACATATTAAAAAATTAAAGCATAAGAAAAGATTATCATTAGCATAATTAGAGGTCTCATTTAATAACTTGTTTTGTTAAAAAATGAATGTTATTTTCCTTAATTGGAAGGAATATGATTCAAGACATAAATTTCATCATTTATAATACAGTGCAATTATCTTACATGTTAAGTTACATTGTAGAGGTATGAAGGTCAACTATAAGAGAAATTTAATAGAAGTCCGTCCAAAAACAAGGGAAGCTATTTTCCAAAATTTAGACAGTCCAACTGGAGAAACAGAAACATTTAAGGTAAGGCACAGTCATTGATGTGCAAAATTATCTCTTCTCGTACACCTAGACTATCGACTTGTCTGACCTCTTTGAAGTTGAGGGAAGAACTAGATTGAGTTCCATCAGCATCCATATATTTCTGGGCTTCCATAATCTTATCTACAATACTGATTGACTCAAGACCATACATGCATCTAGGAGAAACAGACCATGAGCCATCAGATAGACCCCATTTATATTTTTCCCTTTTTTATGAAGTTTAAAAATAGATTTACACAATGAAAGACAATCCTATAAATTGGTGAAGAGTTCATTTATTGCAGTATGACAATTTTCTACAAAAGAAGGATCCTCTTTTCTAAATGTTTGCTTTGATGGCTCAGATTATGTTTTATGTATGATTACATTCTAAGGAAACTAGACAAACATTTATTATTTTCAGTTAATTTTATTCCAAAGCAAAACCATTCTTGCTATAGTTAACTTTGAATATATGATCTTTGGCCTTAGGAGTACTGCTGAGTGCTGACTAAATGTAGCAATAAACTCTTCCCCTTACACAATAATGTATTGGAAGTGCATCATTTTTATCAAAGCTTGGTTATGATGTTGTCATAAATAGGAATTTTTGTTGAGCCTGTGACTTTTGTCGCAGAAAGCTCGACATAGGGATAGTGATCCGGCGGCGGGTAGCGGCGTTAGCTAACTTCTTAAAAGCTTATATTTTAGAAGGTGGAAGATCTGGATGCTTCATACTTTGTATATGGATGCCTCATGTTACGAAGTTTCCATCAGTCACATGTCCAATGTCCTTGACCTCATTTTCATGGTTCAGTGACTCCTTGAAAAAAAGTTAAGATTTTTTGTAATGTTAAATTCTCTCTTATTATAAGTAATAGGATAACTATATTTGGTATGTGCGTACCTTGCAAGGTCCTCATGCCCGTCAGACAGTTTTCACTTGACCTCGACCTCATTTCATGGATCAGTGAACAAGGTTAAGTTTTGGTGGTCAAGTCCATATCTCAGATACTATAAGCAATAGGTCTAGTATATTCGGTGTATGGAAGGACTGTAAGGTGTACATGTCCAGCTGGCAGGTGTCATCTAACCTTGACCTCATTTTCATGGTTCAGTGGTTATAGTTAAGTTTTTGTGTTTTGGTCTGTTTTTCTTATACTGTATGCAATAGGTCTACTATATTTGGTGTATGGAATGATTGTAAGGTGTACATGTCTAGCGGGCAGGTGTCATCTGACCATGACCTCATTTTCATGGTTCAGTGGTCAAAGTTAAGTTGTTGAGTTTTGGTCTTTTTTTCTAATACTATATGCAATAGTTCAACTATATTTGATGTATGGAAATATTTTATGATCTATATGTCAGTCACACAGGTTTTATTTGACCTTGACCTCATTTTCAAGGTTCATTGCTCAGTATTAAGTTTTTGTGTTTTGGTCTGTTTTTCTAAAACTATAAGCAATAGGTCAACTATATTTGTTGTATGGATAAATTGTTAGCTGTTCATGCCTGCCTAGCATGGTTCATCTGACCTTGACCTCATTTTCATGGTTCATTGGTCAATGTTTAGTTAACTTGGTTAATGTTAAGTTTATGTGACAGTTGTAATAAAGCTTTATATTTAGGACTATCAACATAATATCAATGATTAGTAAAGAAGGCGAGACATTTCAGCGTGTGCACTCTTGTTCTAGAGAATGATTCCAAACAATATGATTTTGTAAAGTTAAATATGAGTGTACACATAGTCACAGAAACAATTTAGTGGAATTTTATGCATTGCAATACTTATATGTGCATAAAATGTTTTTGTGATCCAAATGCCCACTTATACTTTTAAAGACTAAGTTAAATACGTCAATATAATGCAGATGTTTTATATGGGTTTTTTTCTCTGAAATTACAGATTTTAGTAGCTATTGTGCCTTGTTTGTTAGAGACATGAATAGCCAGTTGGATATATATCAAAGCAAAGTTTAGTTGCGACAGGCCTGGTTTCGCAAAAATAAAAACTTGCATTATAAATTTGAAATCATTATAAGTAACATTCCCTGGAATCATATTAATGAAACTCCTTTTTATCCATTGTTCAGGAATCGCAATAAAAAATGCATGCAAAAATTTCTATGAATTTACAGTATTCATTTTATGTCTTTTCAGTATGAATTTCTCCATGTGACTCCACCAATGTCTACACCAGATGTTGTTAGAGATAGTCCATTGGTAGATGCCAATGGTTTTGTTGATGTTGATAAGAACACTTTACAACATAAGAAATACTCCAATATATTTGGAATTGGTGATTGTACCAATGCACCTACCTCAAAGACAGCTGCTGCAGCAGGTATGACAATATAGGTTTTAGCTAGTCCTGTGGATTACAGTATTTGATATAAAAATGAGGAGAAAGTGGTACGATAGATTATTAGTCAACTATCAACCAGAGTAAAAAAGAAGTGGTAGTAAGCAATTATAGGTTACTATCTAACCTTTAATAATGAAACAAACCCATACCTTATAGTGAGCTATAAATAAAGACCCAGGCAGATTAAAAATGTAAAAAATTCAAATGAAAAAACTTAGGCCTAACTTATAACAAATCAATATACTCAAGTATTTGAGTACACTTGAGATAGATTTTAGCTTTAAAAAGGACACATTTTGAATATTTGAAAATAAACCACTGTAAATTGAGTTTAAAGTTCACAACATCTAAAACCAAGCCTGTTAGCAAGATTATTTTCTCTTGTTGTTCTTGTCTTTTGACTATGATATATATGCCTAAAAGTCATATGAAACGAGTTTCTTGTAATTTTAATTTTATCAAAATTAATGAACCAATAGAAATAAGAAGATGTGGTATGAGTGCCAGTGAGACAACTCTCCATCTAAGTTACAATGTGTAAAAATTAATTATAGGTCAAAGTACACCTTCAACACGGAGCCTTGGCTCACACCAAACAGCAAGCTATATTAAAAGGGCCCCAAAATGACTAGTGTAAAACAATTCAAACAGGAAAACCAACGGACTAATCTATATAAAAAACGAGAAACGAGAAACACTTAAGAACCACATCAACAAACTACAACCACTGAAACAGGTTCCTGACTTAGGACAGGTGCAAACAAATGCAGTGCGTTTAAACGTTTTAACAGGCACCAACTTTCACCCTAACCGGAAATAGAAGTGTAATATTACAACATAGAAAAACACACTATAAAATATGAATGCATGAAAATAAACTAAACTAAGTTCTGTATGCACTTTTTTTATATTTATTACAAATCTATAACGTATTATAAACCAATAATAATTCATTCAGTGATAGTTGATCCCAAGCTAATTAACCTTAGAGTTTGTTGGTTTACCCGATTGTGATATTGATAAACAATCAACACAGAGCATGCGGAGCACATGACTAATAAGTGAAACGATAGAGCCATGATTTTTTTTATATTTTTCATGCGTTCCCATTTGTTAATTAAACTTTTACTTAAAAGTTGTTAAATGATTTGTATTAAATTTGTTCTTTAAAAATCAGTTATTACTATTTACTTTCCAGAACACATTTGTTTTCATTCTTTCATCACCTTTTCCCCTTGCACTTGTGCTGTGTTTTGGCCCAAGTTCTAACGAGAAATACAGGAAAATATCAACGAATTAAGTGTATGGGAAGACAATAATTCAATAGCAAAGAAAAAGGATATGGGGTACCCATCCATGACACAAAATCAGCACTTGCACAGCAAAAAAACACACAAAAAACAAAGGAACATTACTTTTTTGCTGTTCTTCATCTCAATGTCACAGTGAGGCGTTCAACATGGAGCAAAAAACTCTCAACTCACTGTAAGTTTAAGACGCCCCCTAGTACCAGCTTGAGCGGAATTCTTTGAAAAATAATTCGAATAGAATTTGAAAGATGTTACACCACCAAATCCGGCATGGTCAAAAAGATCTTTCTGGAAAGTAGCACATTTATGAAGGTATTGATAATATAACATGTATAAAGGATTTTATTTTTACAAGAAAGTTTACATACACTTGTTTTATTGTTAAAACTTATCCATTCAAGTATATAAATCATTTTCAACTTTTTTTTTAAATTTGAAGTTTCATATGAATGTAGTATTAAATTTTAGCAAGGGATATTTTCACTATAATACTTGAATTGTGAAAATTATTAAAAACTAATATCTCACGGAAATTATGAAGTATTGTTTATTTCTTGATTGAAATAAAATTACAAAAAGATCTCTCCTCCTGTAAATCCCTTTAAGGAGGATTAGACTCAGAGACAAGAAAAACAAGTCTTACAAATTTCAAGTCTGCAAAAATAATTGCACTTTACAGATACTATGTCCTCAGTTTATGAAAAAAAAAAAAAAAAAGATAGATATGTTTCCGTAATACAGTGAAACCTGTTTTAAGAGACCACTCAAAGGAGAGCAAAAAATGTGAATTTGCATATTCATCATTCAATTTGATAGTTGTTTTGGTCCATGTAAACATGAATAAAGATTTTTTTCTGTGTATTTAAAATGTCTGAAAGATGAAATTACTACTAGAATCAACAGTTTAAATAGCAAGCCATAATCCTTTAATATTGCACAAAAGTTATATTTCGATTGTGCAGTTCACTTGTTTTATGTTTTTTCTTATAAAGATGTAAGTGTTTAAACCTAAACCTGATGAATATTCTTCATAGTGATTATGTAAAACATATAATTGTAGCTGCACAGTGTGGGATTTTAGAGACAAATCTGAAAGCTGTGATGGCTGACAAACCGATGACTGCCCAGGTAAAGTTAGATATTAAAACATGCACGACATGCGGGATTGATTACTGTCAGATTTACTTCCAAAGCATATCTTTCACTGAATAATAGAAAACACCATCTTTGAGAGTTTGAAAATTTCTCCACTATAGTTTTGTACATTGTAAATGTATTGTGTGATACCAGAAAACGCTAACATTATGACCATTGCAAAGATTTAACATTCCCTTCAAAGCTTAAAACTGGGAACAAAACTGGACACATAACCTGGTATGCAACATCTAAGTTAATGATAACATTAAAATAAACCATGAATGACAAGTAAGTTAAGAAATAAATAGCTTGCGAAAATAGTTGGAATTTTTTATGTTTACATTTAAAATGAATATTATTATAAACCAAAATCACAAGATTATGGAAAAAAAATGAACTAAAATATAATATGTGTACACGTTTAAAGTTTTCTTACAACACATTGCAATGGGAACTCACTTTGCACACTTTTCTCATCTCTAGCAGTACCATAAGTTCAGAAATTTTAGGTGTTTTTTTATTATTGCAAAAATTGCTGTTTGATAGGTTTATCAAAAATAAAAAATTGTATTTAAATTTTGATGCATTATTTACATGCAAAGTTTCATGAAATCACAATAAGTAATCTTGCATTTTTGTACATTGTTAAAAAGTTGCAAGAACTAAATTGCAATTACTATGCACTTAAAAATTTCCAAATTTCCATTAATTCAATTTTGTAATTATTTGACCAGTATGATGGTTACACATCCTGTCCGTTGATCACAGCCAGAGGAAAATGTATTTTAGCAGAGTTTGATTTTGATGGCAATCCCCTGGAAACATTCCCAATAAACCAGGGGAAGGAGAGGATGACTATGTATCACATGAAGAAAGATGTAATGCCTCAGATCTACTGGCATATGATGATGAGGTAAGTAAATGCATATTCTGTTTTATCATGTTTTGTTTTGTGTTCTTATATAAGTAAAAAGATGTGGTATGATTGCCAATGAGACAACGCTCCACCATATACTAAATGATGTAGAAGTTAGGAACTATCGGTCATCGTACAACCTTCAACAATGAGCAAAACCCATACCGCATAGCAAGCTATAATAGGTCCCAAAATGACATGTAAAACAATTCAATGGAGACAAATAATGGTGCGATTTATGTACAAAACAATAAACAAAAAGCAAATATGACATACAGCAACCAAAGACCACTGTTAAATTACAGGCTCCTGACTTGGAACAGGCACATACAGAATATGTCGAGGTCACAAGTTGCATTCATCTGTATTGTTATTTGCTAACAGGTTTTTTGAGTAATTAAGAAATAATTCATGGCAGCCGTAGATTTGTTTTCATTTAACCATGGGTTGGGCATTTATATTCGACTATTTTATCCTGAGCGATAGCGAGGCTGCCATGAATTATTTCGATTCTTGTAGGACAAATTCTGTAATTTTGTTAACCGTGAAAGCCCTATATACACGATACTGTTTTGGCTGTTCCGTTTTACCCCATATGATAATATTAGTAATGATCAGTTATATTATATTTTTCAATAATAAATTAAAAAAACTCACATTTTTCACCTAAATATGTTCTTTTTATGTAACTTTATTGCATTCTGAGGCATACAGGAAGCTTTAAAACGCCTGGTGTTTACATTTGATGCCGGAAGCATACATATGACGTCACCTTGTTTAGTTGCCATGCAAAGACGATAACATCATTTCGCAGAGTTTTCGTTTTATGAAATTTTACATCGAAAATTAAATTGAAATCGACTGATTTATTTATTTTGCTTTAGAATAGAGATAACTATATTGTATTTGAATCTTGGCCTACGTAAACTGTGGGTTTTGATGTCACAAGTTGAGAATACCTGGTAGTGTAAATAAGTTGGGCGTAACGTGGAACAGCCAGTTTTGTGTATTACAATGCACTTGTGCCAAAAGTAGATATACTGTGATTTTACTGGTTGACGATATATAGGTCGTCATATTAGAATATTGCATAAAATATAGTCAAAACACTTTTGTCATTGGCTTAATAGCTAGATCTTCTTATCCTCATATCTACCTTCAAAAGTTACATGTAGTGAGGTGAACACTCCTTAGATCATATCCTTGCCCATGTCAATTTATAATATATACTCAGATATTTAAGTTACTAAATGATGTGCATGTGTATAACCGTACATAAAAAAAATAACTATTTTGATAATTAATACACAAGATGTGCATGCTGTGTGAATCTATCCACATAGAAGAAATGTTTAACCATAATTACTTACATTGTTCAGAACAATTTCTTCACAGTATATAGTTATTTACCCTCATATATAAAAGAAACCCGAAACCTAAGTATTACGGTGTGATGTGAAAGTGTTAAAATTTATCAATTATCATGATTATAATAAAAAAGCAAAAAGATATCTGTTCTAAAAAAAAAAATTTCAAGTTAAACTACAATTATGAACAAAGGAAGATAACTCCAATTAAAATGTGATTAAGCCAAAGAAAGCCAAAACATCACATGCATCAGTAAATCCTTTATTAAAGAATTAAGTTTTGATTCCTATCCAAGATAAAATATTTATGGATTATCAATTATGGTATCAATTTCCAGTAAAATTAAATTCATACCCGTTAATATTAATCTCCCACTGGACCAAATGTCCAATGTACCATCCAGCATGTTTATTATGAGTATTCCTGTGGATTCCTTTTTTTTCTTCATTGATACCAATTTTTGTGGATTAATGTAAAATTGAATATATTCGTGGATATTGGATTTCATGGTTTTCCTATAGTCTGCATACAAGCCTATGGAATATATGTACTTTGTTGAACATCTAAATTCTTGGTTAACATTTACCCACGAAATCCACAAATGTTGGTATCCTATAAACAATAATGAATCCACAGTAATTGCTTTATCTGATTGATGCAAGCATTATTCCAATCAATGATGGCATATATATGATGTCTTAATTCATTGTTCTGAATCATGGTATCCAAAAAAATGTATACATGTACATCAATACTCTCCTTTAAAATAACCTTTAATACTATATTATTCTTCAAATTTATGAATACATGATTTAAGTGGTAATGTGTATTTCTATCTCCTATGATTATGGCATGGACATGCAAAATACCTCAACAGTATCAATAAAGTACTGTAAATTCAGATATTTTTGGGATGTTTTTATTATTGTGAAAAGTTGTAAAAGTAAAGATTTTGATAGCATTTTTTATATGCACCATTTCCTGAAATCTCAATAACTAAGCTTTCTTTTTTTTCCATTGTCAAAAAATTGCAATAATAAATGCATCAGTAATTTTCTGAATTTAATTTACAGTAATTATTGCTAAGAAAATTTTAAGAGTGTTCAGTACAAATCAATATTAAAAATGTTGTGAATATTGTTTTATAAGAATTCTTTTTTAATAGGAATATCTATTATCTTTTTCAGTGGACATTGGAATGGGCCAGGTGTTTATAGGAAATTAATGCACTTAGGAATGGATGGTCCAGAAAAGCAGGCGGCCTCTGCTTAGGATATAAGAGACTATATGATGTTTTGGAGAAGATGACTGAGAAAACAATCAAGTGTATTCTTCTGTGATTAAATAAAGATTGATACAGACATTTAAATAGTGATAAATGCATAACAAACCAAAGTCATAACTTTAGAATTTTGTCATATTGACATTCTTTTATTGTTGGATTAGAGAAAAGTTCTCTTAATTTAAGTCCCAAAAAATATATTTGCTTGTTTCCTGCCTCTTGGGTAAGCAGTTAGGTGAAATTAAATTACTTTTTATAACTATTATATATTAACTACAGTGTATATACCTGTATGGAAAATTTCTGTACTTTTAATGGTGCTTAACCAAAAATGTCCATAAAATGTGTTATGGTAGGCATGAATATGCATTGAAGGTAAGGAGGCAGGTAACAGAACAATTTTTTTGATTAGCTTTATAACGAAATGCAGGCCAGTTTTATAAATTGTGTTACACTTTATTATTGTTTTGTATAATGTTAAATGTGAATTTAAAGTATTTAAGATTGATTGAGCACACAAAAGTTTATAAAGTGTTTAGAAGAGTACAATCCATTGCAGTTTCAGAAATTAGTATTTTTTTGTATGTTTTTTCATTTTGTATAGAATTATATTAAAGTCACAATGGAAAAATACTTTGTTTTTTGAGAGTTCCATATAAATGTTGTTCTTAACTTATGTGAAATCATGTAGTTCAAATGTAAATTGATCTAGTTTGCGAGTCAATGTGAAATAAGTATAAAACTTGTCTAACCAGATTTTTGTCAAACTAAGGAATGTGTTACTGTGATTAGGAATTATTGATGTTTATAAGATTTACAAGGAATTCTTATGTTCCAAAATGACCCCTTGGATATTTTATGCACAAAATTTTGCAGATAAGGAAACTGACTTTGATGTTTCTTCTTTTTATATACATTTTTGCTTGACCATCTGATTGATTTAAAATATGTTATATACTGTGATCATATATATTTAAACTAAACTGTTGTACTAAAATCTTTTGATACCCATGTATTTTTATTGTATATGAAGAGGTCTCCAAAACTGTACTCCTCTCAGGTCACAATTTATACAGTTCTAAACTGATCTGATTCTCGGTTTCAGACATTTTTAAAGGTCAAAGGTCCTTTGAAGCGAGACCTCAGGTCGCAAGGTTGCCCTCCAAACATCCACTTTACCATGTTGTAGCCGCATAAAGTAGCATTTGAAAAACTTTGTTTAACATTTATCAATAAAGAAAAAGGTTTAACTGTGAAAGGAAAATACAAAAAGCAAATAAGACATTCCCAGCATCTTGTTTTTATGTTAACAGGTAAACAACACCATTTTCTAATTGTTTTCAGTTGAATAATTAGTATTTAAAATCTTTCAACTATATATATATTTGTTATTTGAATTTTTTGAATACAATAAATTATTATATTATTATAAAGCAATTTGTTAGTTTTCTGTCATGTGATTCAGCTCCCTATATATGAATAAGTGGTGATTCATCTGCATGGATTTTAACATGGCTTGTTTAGAGTATTTTTATACCCCCGCTTTAAAAAAAGTGGGGGTATACTGTTTTACCTCTGTCTGTCCGTCCATCCATCCGTCAGTCAGTCCGTCCGTCCGTCCCATGTATTTTTTCGTCGCATCTTTCTCAGGAACTACATTACAAAGATTTCTGAAATTTGTTTTCAGGGTTTATATGAGTCAGCTATACCATGTGATGCGTTTTCAGATTCATCACTCAACAACTTCCTGTTTACCTTATACTTTTAGCAGGGTGGGGATATCATTAGTGAGCAGTAGCTTACAGATTCACTTGTTTTTTTTTTTGAAAATCTAATGCTGTCCTGTTACACCACTGTTCCAGGCTAAGGGAGGGTTGAGTAATTACTGTGGATTCCTTATTATTCGTTGGATACCAATTTTCGTAGATTTCATGGGTACAGGGAAAACACGAACTTAAATGTTCAACGAATTGAAAATTTGTTGTATGATTATATGTAGACTTTCGGAAAACCACGAAATCAAATATCCACGAATATGCAAGATTTCCTCAATCCACGAAAATTGGTACCCACGAAAATAAATGAATCCACAGTAAATCGGGTGACAACCCTTATTCCAACAGCCCATTACTCTGACATCCCATTATTATACGACCGCAAAAAAATTTTGTGGTCGTATATTGGTATGACGTTGGCGTCGTCGTCGTCGTCGTAGTTTAAGTGAATGGATCTTTTTGAAATTTGACCATAAGGTTAAATACCACAAAAGGAAGGTTGGGATTGATTTTGGGGGTTATGGTACCAACAGTTAAGGAATTAGGGGCCAAAAAGGGGCCAAAAATAAGCATTTTCTAGTTTCCAGACAATAACTGTGGAACGGTGTATGGATCTCTCTGAAATTATACTACAAGTTTCCATACCACAAAGGGATGGTTAGGATTTGCTTTGGGGGGTTATGGCTCAAACCGTTTAGGAATTAGGGGCAAAAAAGGGGGAAAAACAAGGTTGTCCTGGTTAATGGACAAATACTTTAGTACAAAACATAATTTAAAGCAGTGTAAGGGAGATAAATCAAATACATCATTGAAATTATCTCCCTTACACTGCTTTTAAATTATGTATAAAGTAATGGTTAATGAACAATAAAGATAATTTAAAACAGTGTAAGGGAGGTAATCCAAATACAACGTTTTGGTTACTTCCCTTACACTGCTTTTAAATTATGTTTAAAGAAATGCATATTTATAAAGGAAGACCAGTAAAAATATCTGCAAATGTTGCATCTTTTTTTTTACAAAAAAATCCATATGAAAGATTTGACACTATATTTTTAATTCTATTATAAAATAGATTAAGTTAGCACTATGGTAAATTTAAATGGGTAATTATGGTTGCCAACTCCATTGGAAATTTGAATTGAGATTTTGACCATATCTTGAGGGAAAGAATTTTTTGGGGGAAAAAAAGGGGGGGGGGGGGATAAAAAGAAATTGTGGGGGGTCAATTTTTTTCTCATTTCAGATTTCAGAAATTAAAAAGAATTATTCTTCAAATATTATTTTTTTTTCAAATTTCAAATATTGAAAAATTTCAAGAAGTAATCTTTAATTGCACAGTATGGCGCATTAGATTTGTAAAATCTTTGATCACATTTATTTATTTGTTATGCCGAATCTAACAGTGTATTTAGATTTTTAATTTTGGGTCCAGTTTTCAAATTGGTCTACATTAAGGTCCAAAGGGTCCAAAATTAAACTTTGTTTGATTTTAGCAAAAATTGAATATATGAGGTTCTTTGATATGCTGAATCTAAACATGTATTTAGATTTTTGATTTTTGGCCAAGTTTTCAAGTTGGTCCAAATTGGGGTCCAAAATTAAACTTTGTTTGATTTCAACAAAAATTGAATATATGGGGTTCTTTGATATGCTGAATCTAACCATGTATTTTGATTTTTTATTTGTGGACCCCGTTATCAAATTGGTTCATATTGAGGTCAAAAGGGTCCAAAATTAAACTTTGTTTGATTTCATCTAAAATTGAATTATTAGGGTTCTTTGATATTCCAAATCTAACCGTGTATTTAGATTTTTAATTTTGGGTCCTGTTTTTTAAATTGGTCTACATTAAGGTCCAAAGGGTCCAAAATTAAACTTAGTTTGATTTTAACAAAAATTGAATTCTTGGGGTTCTTTGATATGCTGAATCTAAACATGTGTTTAGATTTTTGATTATGGGCCCAGTTTTCAAGTTGGTCCAAGATAGGGTCCAGTATTTAAACTTTGTTTGATTTCAACAAAAATTGAATATATGGGGTTCTTTGATATGCTGAATCTAAACATGTATTTAGATTTTTGATTATGGGCCCAGTTTTCAAGTTGGTCCAAATTGGGGTCCAAAATTAAACTTTGTTTGATTTCATCAAAAATTGAATTATTGGGGTTCTTTGATATGCCAAATCTAACCGTGTTTTTAGATTTTTAATTTGGGTCCCGTTTTTTTTAAATTGGTCTTCATTGAGGTCCAAAGGGTCCAAAATTAAACTTAGTTTGATTTTAACAAAAATTGAATTCTTGGGGTTCTTTGATATGCTGAATCTAAACATGTGTTTAGATTTTTGATTATGGGCCCAGTTTTCAAGTTGGTCCAAGTTGGGGTCCAAAATTAAACTTTTTTGATTTCAACAAAAATTGAATATATGGGGTTCTTTGATATGCTGAATCTAACCATGAATTTAGATTTTTTTATTTGTGGGCCCCGCTATCAAATTGGTTCATATTGAGGTCAAAAGGGTCCAAAATTAAACTTTGTTTGATTTCATCAAAAATTGAATTATTGGGGTTCTTTGATATTCCAAATCTAACCGTGTATTTAGATTTTTAATTTTAAGTCCCGTTTTTTAAATTGGCCTACATTAAGGTCCAAAGGGTCCAAAATTAAACATAGTTTGATTTTAGCAAAAATTGAATTCTTGGGGTTCTTTGATATGCTGAATCTAAACATGTGTTTAGATTTTTGATTATGGGCCAAGTTTTCAAGTTTGTCCAAGTTGGGGTCCAAAATTAAACTTTGTTTGATTTTAACAAAAATTGAATATATGGGGTTCTTTGATATGCTGAATCTAACCATGTATTTTGATTTTGGACATTGGACCATAATAGGTAAATTAAAAAAATTCAAGTTCTTAGACCACATTCTTTCTGTGTCAGAAACCTATGCTGTGTCAAATATTTAATAACAATCCAAATTCAGAGCTGTATCAAGCTTGAATGTTGTGTCCATACTTGCCCCAACTGTTCAAGGTTCGACCTCTGCGGTCGTATCAAGCTGCGCCCCAGCGAAGCATTTTATCTGTATTTGTAGTATTATTTGTTTGTGCACGCAAAATCTTGATGCCTTGATGATAAGTGTTTTTTAAAAAGAGGAGATGTATGATTGCCAATGAGACTATTTGTAATACAAAAGGACAAATGTCGGAAATAATTATGGTCACTGTTTGGCCTACAACAATGAGCAATTAACCCATAATGTACACATGGTATAGAAAACTATAAGATATTAATTATAAAATTCCATTTACTTTGCAATCAGTTGGAAGTTTTCTTTTATAAAACTTTTTTAAGTCCCTTGTTGAAGACACAAGTTAGTTACGGTTATCTAACCTTGAGTGCTGGGGATCTTTGGTTCAATCCCTGCTTTTTTTCAAACCAAAGACTTTAAAATTTGTGTTTAGTACTTTTCTACAAAGTACACAATATTCAGGAGTAAAAGCAAAGATTTGTAGGCATGGATTCAGAGAAAGCCTGGTGATTAAACCCATCAATTTTGAGGTTAAGCTGAAGGCCAGACACTAAAAAATGGACTCGAGAGTTTTATGGGTGAGAACTTTTGCCTGCATTGGACCCAAACTTGGATATATGGTTTCATCATAAGAGGAAGATCCCTCTCTTATGAATTCTAAGGATTGATACTTCAGTCTGGGATAACACGATTTATTTATAGTTTGTAATTTGCTTTAAACTAGCTTTCAGTAACTGCCAGTGCCTTGTGTCTATTGTTTTTCTGTGAGATTGCCATTACTTGGTGTACATTGTCCTCATCTGTTAACTTTTACAAAAACTTCTGAAACTACTAGGCCAAATTTATAAAAAAATAACCCCGCTTTCTAACCAACATTGACGACATGGCTAAAATAGAACATAGGCCTAGGTGAGCAACACAAGATCTTTAGAAACTCTAGTTTGTTTTTCATACAAGATTATTGAGTAATCCATTTGCAACTGAGTTTTGTCTTGCCTTGACAAATTTGAAGAAGCAAGATTAAGACATGCTGTTTCCAGCAACAGAGTTGTCAACAATGTAGTTTGTGATTAGGTTAGTTTATGGGAACTAGTAAATTTAACACAATATGATGATAAAATAAAACTTAATGCCCCCTCTGCTTCGGCGGGGGCATAAAAACTGGTATTTCATTCCACAGCTATGGGACTTTGACCGTCAGATAAAAAAAAATGCTTTTTCATAATGTCATTTACTAGCACTAGTATGCTCTTGTATGCTTGATCAAATGTTCACGAACTCAACACTGTTGCTGGGATTGGTGAATGAAGACTCGCTTTTGATTTTGAAAATTTTCTGATTTGACATTCCCGTGTTATAGGACTTTTTAACAGTAATATTTATACACTTGTACATCTAAGGGTATCCTTATGCATGCCTTTTCTACATAGCCATTTCATTTGCATCTGATCAAATGCCTACTAAATGTATCACATTTTATTTTTGCAACAATTTCAAATTGCACAATAGTTTTCGAATGGCATAATTTGAGATTGAGTTATTTCTATTAAACAATTTTGGAGCGAAAAACAGTTGAATTTCTTATTTGACTAACAAAACTGAAAGTCTGATGAGAGATCCTTACGAGATGGTA